GAACTTCTGCTACACTTTTTTTCAAATCAAAATAGTGCAAAAGCACATGTCGAAAAAACACTTTATCGCGTTCCATTTTTCACAAAGCAAAAGAAATTGTTGTTTAGGAAAATAATTGTGTATGCTGACTGAATGTTATCGAGAAATGTCGAAATTAATCACAAACTACCTGTTTCGTTAGTAATGACTACTAGAACTGTTTGCATTGCCATCTAACATTTGCGGGCGGAAACTAAGTTAAGGTCCTAATATTTTAAATATATTCTTCATTATTATTTTCTTAAAACACTGTCTTTCAATTATTCCGCCTATCACGAACCCGATCCGACAAGCGATTCAAAACCGCAACGAATCGCGGTTACATATATTGCGACGCTACTCGCGAAGATAACTTCACGAGCGACGGCCGACCGTCGCCTGTCCACCGCGTCAGCAAACTACCGTCGGCTCCGGTTCACGCTACCAAGTCGAAAAAGATTCGTTGGGCGCCAGGTGGAAAGGCCGCACCACCTCGCGATAACCGTGATAGGAAATTACACGCCATTCGCGTGTCCCGGAACCGTCGGGACCGGCAGCTCCAAGAGTTTTTAAGTCGGAGACGAGATGGGTTAGGAGAAGGCGAAATCAACTCGACTTGATATCGATAATGAAAAGTACATTTATTGGGGGACTCTTGCACGTCCCGATATTCAATACGCGATATAATGTGGTAACGGCGACGCTCCTCGGGAGACGGTACTGTTCGCGAGAATGCCACGCGAAGCCCGAGGACGATTTCCTCGGGCGAGCCTTTTATTAACCGCGCGACCACTCCGCGGACGAGACACGATAATGCACGAGCCGATACGCGGCAAAATTAGATTTTTGAGCAGATGGTCGATCTTACAGGGTGTATATCAGTTGGACACGGGGCAATTGAACACAGTCCAATCACAAGTCGCTGTTCCAAGGGACCCTACAAATGTCTCTAATCACACGGTGCTGTGATTGGCTGTGTCCAAATGCACCTTGTCCAAGTGCACCGCTCCCGATCTTACATTGCTCGGCGGCGGCCCTTGAGTCGGCGGCGATGTCGATGCCGACGACGGCGGTGACGGCAGCGGCGGCGATCCTCTCTCTCTCTCTCCGCTCTCCCTCTGTCTTCTCGCTCCTCTCTCTCTTTCTCTCGCCCCGCTCTCTCTCTCTCTGCCACTGCGCTCTCCCTTGCCTCGCTCTCGCGCTCTCTCCCACTCCCTCTCTCTCTCTCCGCTCTCGTTCTCTGTCACTCTCGCTCGGCGATCGGTACAGGACGTTCTGCGGAAATATGCTCCGTTTGCGGCGGTAGTCGCGGTAAGGCTACCAGCTGTTTCTCTCTTGGAGGATTACGTATCGCGGATCCTCCTTCGTCGCTTCACCCCTCGTCCTGTGGTGGTCGGTAGTCAGGAATCGGCAGATTTCGGTATTCTTGTCTCGAGGCACTTTTCGTCTCGAGACACTGTTGCCCTCGTGAATCCACCTGTTGCCTCTCTCGGCTCTCCCGTTTTTTTTCTTGCTGGGCTCTCGCGACGGCTGCTTGCTAGAAGTAAACACAGCTGATCGGTCTAAGCGCGATATTGTGTTCGAGCCACGGTAATTTCTCAGCGATAGAATATTCGCTATTGCTGAGCGCGCGATAATTCGCGATAAAAGATTTTAGTCACAAAAGTACGAGAGTGCAATTCACCTGATTAAGGGCTTCGCTAGTGGTCGGCCGCTGCTTCCTCGCCCCTCGATGTCCTCCGCTCCTCGTCCTGGTGGCCGACAAGGGACGCCGAGGGGCACAAAATTCGGGACGCGCTTACCTTCGCATCTGCTCCGCTCGCAAAAATCGCTTCTTCGCTTTGTTCTAAGACTTTCACAAACAAACATTCGACGGACCGCGATATTCGGAAAGGTCTCGAAAACCGTTAGCGACGCGACACGCGAAAAACATTCTCACTAATTCGGTACGGGATTCTTGAGACGGACGCCTCCACGGCTGCCACATCACAACATATACAGGGTGTCCCGAAGTCCCATGATGACCCTTGGTGAGAACGTAGAACGGACTGAGGTGAGCAAGAAAGTCCTGTGCCGTTTTGCGATATTCGCAATAGTTTTTGAGAAATTAATTATTTTGTCTCAACAAATCAGCGTACAGAAAGCGGCAGCGGAAAGAAAGATGACTTCGGCCGACGTGCGACCGTGACACTCGCGAATCGTATCTCGCCGCATCCCTCCGCCCATAGCTACGAGACATAGACTCGCTATGTCTCGTAGCTATGGGCGGAGGGATGCGGCGAGATACGATTCGCGAGTGTCACGGTCGCACGTCGGCCGAAGGCATCTT